TTAGGGATGCCAAAAGTTTCGGTTATAACCGATTATAACCGGTTTTTACCGGTTCGGTTATGGTTCGGTTTCAGTCCAAGACCGACCGGTTAACCGTCGGTTTTATATATAAAAAAAACTGACAAAAAAACCGATCAGTTAATCATATATTTCAAAAGAAAAAAATGTTTGTTTTATTAATTTTATTGAGAATACTATTAAAAATTATGATTTAGTTGTATATATATATATAGTATTCTTGTTTTTGAAATAATAAGAAAATTTATATTTTACGCGTCGATCACGTGATTTTTCGTTCCGCTGAAAAAAATCGCAAAATTGACATTACTATCGTAAAAAAAATTATAACTTTAAGAAATATTATCAAATAAAATTATAATTAATACTTTCTAACATTAGTTCATTCAATTTGCAGTAGTTTTGCGATCGGTTTTGCAATTCGGTTTTATCGGTCGGTTTTGCGGTCAGTTCGGTTTCAGCTGAAAACCGCAGTTTTAAAACCGAAACCGAACCGAACCGACCGTTGGCATCCCTACTAACGGTATATAAAATTATTTACTTAAAATAAAATTATATACTTTAAAATAGACTTAAAATAAAAATTTTAAAATATACAAAATATATTAAAAACGTTCAGGACTGCATCAGTGATAAATTTGTAATAAAGTATGAAAGTTTATTTTATATGAAAATAAAAATATCAGTACATACGGTACATTATTATATTATTTAAAATACCTTTTTCGAAATGGTGGAAATACGATTTTTAATATTTTTAATGCAGTTATCCAGACGTAATAAAGGCGATATATGTTTTATTATATTGATTAAATTGCTACTAAAATGATGCCATGACATCATTAAATCAGAGTTATAAAAATGACTCATATATCAAACAATATTAGACTTATATCACGTGATAGAAAATAATATAAAAAGGGATCTAAACTACACACAAAAAACTCTTCTCTAACAAAAAAAGTGAACTACTTTTTTTTTAAAAAAAAAACAAAGACAAAAAATAATTCATATTATTTAGATGTAATGTTGTTTCCGAGTTCTAAACTTTCTCCTAACAAACAAAATGATGATGGTACGGTCCATACGAACAACAAAAGGCTTTTATGGATAGTAACATTGCCTCCAACCTAACTGGGAGAAAATAATAGAGTAGGGTTTACATACAAAAATCTTTTTGAGTGGAAAACGGATGTCTTCTCTTTATTAGATCTTCTGCTCCTTTTCTTACGTCTTCCTTTAGATATGTGGGTTGGAGATAATAAAGGACTTACTAGCGCTCTTGAAGAAAAGCCTACTGTCTGACAAATGTTATTGTTTACTGGAATTTTTAAAAAAGTGGGTAAAGAGTAATTTATCACCCACTGGCCATAATCCTTGACTGCACACCGCGAAAGCAACGTGCGAAGGCTTATGAGGGCTGACCGGACGATTTTAAAGGGTTGCAAATAGATGACTAGGGCCCATCATACGAGAACCCACCCAAGGTTATATCTTTGAAAGTGAAGCCTTGGTTAAGGTACCTGATAAGTCATCAGGTTTAAATTCACCGTCTTGAAGATATAGTAGTTGGTCTGCCAAGTGCTCTGGAGCCACTCTTGTAAAGGATCTGATGGTTATAATAGAGAATATAGATGGTGGTGAAGGATACCATATATATAGTCACTCCCGAAATGTATGCTTATCCCTAAGGTAGTTGGGTTATGGTGTACAACCACTTGTCAAAATGGTTACTGTTTACAATACCATTTTGGTATTCACCATTATGACCTGAAGTGAATGAGCTAGAACTAACATAAGCTTTAATTTATAGGGATCTTTGGAATGTCATGAGTGGAAAGAATTGCAACAAAGAGAATTCCACTTCAAGAAATTAAATCAGCTCTTATTGCTTTGAATCCTTTAAGTTCACATTTTCCGTTATTTTATGTCACCACATAATTGGTTAGCTGACTAATCGCGATCAATTTGCGTTTATAGTTAATATTTAATGAGTGACACGCTCCAGGGGATTACCCATTTATTTCCAACTCCCCATGAAATAAATAATACTAAGTTGAATAATATACGTCATTCGACATTTTACATCATGAAGTGTTTATAAATATTTGAGATTACTATTCTTATTGGCGTTTTTAAATACATTTTTTTAAAATTATTCTAGTTTATTAAAATTTAGATTATTAGTTCATTGCATGAAATATTTATTAAATTTTACACATTTTTGAATTATAAATCAGTTCCATTATTTCTTTTTCTCTCCTGTTTACTTTCCATCATTTCTTTTTGTCTCTCATCACTCCTTTTCGTCTCTTATCACTCCTCTTCATCTTCTCATCACTTCTCTTCGTTTCACAACGCTTCTTTTCGTCTTCCATCGCTTCTCTTCATCTTCTCATCACTTCTCTTCGTCTCCATCACTCCTCTTCATCTTCCTATCACTCCTTTTTATCTATCCCTCATCATGTCCTATTTCTCCTTTTTGTTTCCTATCACTTCTCATTATTCTTTTTTACTCCCTTTCATCTTCTATTACTTTTCATTACTCCATTGTTATTTCATTTTTTATTAGCATCTTTCTTCTTGATCATTGTAATTTACTTATCTTTTCTTTTATTTGTATCACTTCATTAAAA